TCATTGTGTATGCAGATGAGTATCAAAGCCAAGCCCAAAAACTTGTTACGAATTACTCGTCATCCGAACTCGCCACACTATGGTGAACCCAGACTTATTCGAGTAACTCTAGAATCCTCCACCGACGTAGAAAACGTCGCCTAAACACAATCTTCATACATGGCGTGCCAGAACATCCTTCTAACGATGTTCAAGAGACCGGAAAGCACGATTTAGAACAGTGGCGGTTCATTCGTGAAACAATTTCTTTGGATGATGTTGTGGCACTATCGCTTACCAGGATACCTCGTTCATCGAATTATAGAGGATGCGGCCCTAAAATCCTAAAACTTGTTGTTCAGTCAGAGCAACAAGCAAAGGATGTTTTGGATCGATGGCGGAGAAATCGGAAAAATCTTCCTTCCGAAATTCGGTTAAAGGTCGCAAACAATTCGCACAGCTCAAGTATTAAAGCAACTGAAGCAGCAAGCATCCTGACGAATGTACAGAAGTGTAACTTGACTGCTGCTTTAATTGACTCTGACGTAGGTCTAAACGAAGGCTGGGACGCACCTTGGCCGAATAAAGTTGCAAACGAGGTATCACTGACCCATCAGAAAAACGAATAACTGCCAACCTCCCATCGGTCGGCATTCTCCCACACTTGACAGCTTCACCTCTCTGCGGGCTCCTAGAGACCGAGAAACTGGCCTGCTTGTATACAAATGCTCAGGGACTTTCTAACAAACTGGCTGAACTGAAAGATCGCCAAGCTTCCGGCTGGTATGACGTCATTGGTATCACCGAGACATGGTTGCACACGGGAATGACGGACGCTGAAGTGTCGCTACCCGGCATGTCGCTGATCCGGAACGATAGGCTCACAAAAGGAGGAGGGGTAATCCTGTACTACCGAAACGACTTACAGTGCGAAGCCGTGGAGGATTTAGATTCGCAGTTCCCCGACTCTCTTTGGTGCAGGTTGCAGTTAAAAGGCAGGGACGCTTGCCTTATCGTCTTGGTGTACCGCGCCCCTAACTCAACACCCGAAACCGACTACCACCTAATGGCTGCTTTAAGGTGCAGTTTACAACAAAAGTACACTCACATTCTTATCATGGGTGATTTCAACGTACATTGTTTAGAAGCCCCTGCCACGATCGGATAACAATTCAAAACAGATTTACAATATCTAGTAACTACTGTTCCTCTTTACAACCACATCACTTTGCCCACTAGGTTCAGAACTGGTAACGGGCCATCTGTGCTGGATCTTGTGCTTACCAACGAGGAGCATATGATTGATGCGTTGGTTTTAGACTGCCCGTTGGGTCGCAGTGATCACGCAGTCATCCGTTTCAACTTCGTCTGCTATGCAGAATATCGGAATGATAACGATGATACTGTGCGAACCATCACAAGGTACGACCGACTCGCCCAGCTAGTCAGCGCCACAACATGGTCTTTCCTGGAAGAAGAACCCCCGGAAGTCGCCTGGCTCGAGTTCGTCAACGAATTCAGTCAGCTGATTGCACAGGCTTCAGAGATAAAAGCTTGCAATAAGTGCAAATCCGTTTCTTTTGTTAGGAGCAGAACCCGAAAATGGATGACAGTACGCAACGCAGCATGGCAAGTGTACAGAGAAGCTCCAGCACCAGCAACTTGGGACAACTATGTAGCCCAACGTAACCACTGCACTCAACTGTTAAGAGAAGACGAAGCCGCCTATCAGCAGAACATCGCAAAAACCTTCAGTGCTAATCACAGACTGCTGTACAAGCACGTTAATAGCCTACGAAAGGTGAGGCAATGATTTCCTCCACTCCAGACGGCTGATGACCCAACAAGAACATCTATGGAAGCTGCAAACGCGCTGCAGATGCAATACGCCCCCACGTTTCAAAGGGTCTTGCCACCAAGCGATCTACCAAGATTTGTATTCTGATCACCAGGGCTAACCCACATCAATTTTACCGCAGAGGCTCTATTGCAAAAGCTGACTTCTCTATGCAAACACAGCTCGCCGGGTGTCGACGCCATTCGTCCAGAGGCATTGGGAGCAGCAGCAAGCCAACTGGCAGGAACTTTAGCTCAGTTTTTTCAGCACTGCGTAGACCAGAACCAAGTTCTCGCCATGTGGAAGATTGGAATAATAAGCCCGATTCACAAAGCTGGAAGCAGAACTGATCCCTCCAACTACCGGCCAGTAACCCTTCTTCCTATACTCTCCAAGGTCATGGAATCCATAGTTGCCGATGCACTGGTGTGCTATCAGGAAAACTGCAACCTCATCACTCCTGAACAGCACGGTTTCCGTCGACAGCGGTCATGTACAACTAATTTACTAATTGCACGCAGTAGTTGGACCGAGGCAGCTGAAGCTGGAGAAGGTATTGATGTGATCTACCTGGATTTTTCCAAGGCTTTCGATCGTCTAGACCATCGGATACTACTATCCAAGCTGCAGCATTACGGGATCGGATACCCCCTTTTAAGCTGGATCGCCAACTTTCTATTTCAACGACAATTAATGGTCAGAGTTCGGAGCTCTTTATCGGCCCCCATACAAGTCGAGTGTGGTGTGCCGCAAGGCTCGGTTCTAGGTCCAAGTTTGCTTTTGGTGTTTATTAATGACCTTGCACAGGGAATCGCTTCAAACTTCCTAATGTTTGCCGACGATATCAAGATCTGGCGCAGGATCCAGGCGAACGCCGACCAACATGTGCTCCAAAGTGACTTAAATACAGTGCATCAATGGTCGATCCAAAACTTATTGCATTTCAACGTCAGTAAATGCAAGGTGCTTTCCATCCGACATCAAAGCAGCTACTCATACCGACTCGGAACGGATGTACTGTAACAATCAACAGTCGAACGTGACTTGGGTGTCCTGGTTCAAGATGACTTGGGTTGCTCCAGGCAATCCGAAAAGGCCTCGAAGACCGGGAACCAACACGTCGGGCTGTTGAGGCGGGCGTTTGGACAAATAAACAGCTCCATATTTCGACAAATGCTCAGTGCGTATGTTCGCCCCCATGTCGAATACGCAATTCAAGCCTGGCATCCATGGCTGAAACACGACCTTAATGCACTGGAGCAGCCACAACGTCGGGCATCTAAGAACGTAATTGGAATGCGCAATCTGTCCTACCAGGAGAGGCTGCGACGACTAGGATTGTTCAGTGGAAGCTATCGCAGACTACGAGGCGACCTGATTATGACAGACTTGATTCTGCGAGACCCACATCATGTGTGCCGCCCTTTACTGCAACTCAGCAGCAATACAAACCTGAGGGGCCACTCATTAAAACTCGCAGAACAATACAGTCGTCTGGAGTGCCGCAGAAATTTCTTTCCCATCCGTGTCTGTCACCCTTGGAATGCTCTCCCAGAATCGATCATCTCTGCACCGACACTAACAATATTTAAAAGGCGGTTGGACGATGCACTCATCCACTTACACTTTGTTACTTAACACTATGTCTCCATCTTACACCTGGAGTTTACCCTGGAATTATTTGTTGTTAACTGTGGGTGTTGTGAACCTAAGTGAATCGCAGGACTACAGCGAAGCAAACGATAAGTCCTTATTTTCGTATTTAAAGTATTAACTATTTTACTATCCTTTTCATCATAATGGTTGTGTTGATATCCCCACCAACTATCCAACAGGGCTTGTAAAGCAACGCTTCTTAACCCGTATAAATTCATTGTTCATTGTTCATTGTCACCACGTATGGCGATATTATCGGCATAGTCTGGGTCTGTCGCGTGCTCACTCGGTAGGGTCACCAAGCCGAATTTTATGAAACCTTCAAGAGCTCTCAAGAGATTATCGTCGTTTGCAAATTTGAAGACGAATAGGGACATAACCCAACACGATCGCACACAGTTATTGCCAGCGAATGACGACGGAAACTTGTGGCCGACCTCACTCTGTCGGAGATATGAAAGTAAAGCGCAAGTAACATGGTGGGATACTTTCCTGGCACCCCGGTCTTTAGCAAGCAAGGCCATCTGCAGTTTGATCGACCGATACAAATGCAGCCCATGTGTTTAAGAAAGCGACGATTGCAGGCCTGTGGTAAATGTGGCGATGTTCGTGGAGTTCGCGGCGCCTGAACATTTGATCCACCCACTTACTGCCGCGACAGAAATCAGCCTGTTATGCACGGTAGTATGATTCACCTATTGGAGATAGTGTACGAAGAAGTATAGATACCAAGAACTCAAAGGCAACCGAAATATTACTAATCTCTTAATGATTATCACATAAAGTGCGAGCGTATTCTATTGAAAATCAGCATGATACCCGATGCGCCCCAAGAGGAAAGCACTTTTTTGTCATGTCAGATTTTTGCGATCAACGAGGTCAGCTGGTCAATCATTGAGACGCCGCCGTATCTGGACAGCTCTGGAGCAAGTCTGTCTGAGCAGGCAAACTGGAATAGCCTTAAGCCTCGACTGTCGGGACAGACTTCAGCTCCGCTGGGTGAAACCAGTGGAACGAGTCGGAATAGCAAACAATATGTGCTGCGTCCGCAGATGAGCGGTGGGGGCTTGCTGAATTGTGAACAAAAGTGCTCGGCCCCGCGGTACAAACGCCTCACAAATAACCTCAATGACACCAGGCATCCTTAGGCTTTTGGAACGAAGCATTTGGAAAAGCTTTCGAATGTTGCCAAAGCGCGCTCAGACCACCAAGCCTTGCGCACAGTGCGCAGGTTCTACTTGAGGGAGCCGTTGGTACAGCGGCGCCGTCCATGGCAATTTGATTCTGCCAGGATATCTTTGCTGCGGTCATACACCTTGAGAGAGCGAGCAGAGATCCTTGCTTTCAAGGAGTATTTGGTTTAGCCTGGAACTTGGTTGTTCGAAAGTGATCATCACTTTCCTTATACAAGTCCGATGTAGCTCAAGGTTTTGTGGTGCGACTGGCAGTGAAGACTGCTAGCTCGCCTGGACCAAGGAGCAATAGGGTGGAGCGATCGATGTAAATTCTGGAACAGTCAGGAGGCACATTAATAGAATACCGTTTATTTGAACCATTAGCTTCTATACCTAAACAAAAGCCAACTACAAAAGACTAACAGACCCTTCGGCCATATGCATGGTCAGTAATATGCAAAATACCCAACGGCAAGGACTACCAAAAGAGGACTGTTTTCATCATCTGCTTCAGACTAACTCCATTTTTTCATTCAGTTTAGCATGTTCCTTTATTTCTGGCTGCTCAGGCGTAATGTCAGCTTCCGACTTGGTAACTGGCACATCTGCATCTTCTCTCAGTGCTGAACCCATTGCAGATCCAGCGATCTATTTTCGTCAAAGGTACAAAGTACTTTCTCACCTTTCGGGCAAATGGATGCAGAAATCTATCAACCAGCTCATGGTATATGTTCATGAATTCCTTGAAATGGGCAAACCTGAAACGATGGACAACCAGAGGAAGAAAGTACGTCACGTTACCTGTCGTCATTCATTGTCGAACATTTGTCACTTAGTGTCGTGTTAAGTTGGACGGCATGCGCTTTCTTCTTCTCATAGATTTCTTTAATCCTAAAAACCACAAGAAATACAGAAAAACAGGGAGAGTTGAGGTGAAACAACTGGCGGGTGTTAAAATATTTTGTTGAGTTGGAAAGTTTTACCCATTTTATCACTTAGCCAAATAAGGTACATTCAAAGAACCTTCTGCTAGTGATCGAGTCAAACCTGGGTCATTCACCGCTTAATAGAAGTGTCTGGATGCCGATGTCAAAAGCGGGATCTGACTTCCGTTACAGACTTAGAAACGAGAGGCCCTTGATTTTAGAGCAGGATATTGTATTAACGGACATAAGTAATAACACGCCATGGAGCAGATTTTGGCTTTAATTGGAGGTAACTGAGCCTTATTACGATAAGTCACCAAATACAAGGCGTTTGAGACACATTAGGTGTCACGGAGTTCAAACTGGCTCGATCCCCTGAATTCGCTCCATTGACTTGAGGGCAGTCGATTAAGCCAACGCTTAACTCTACTTGAGCAATCGGTTAGTATCATCCCGTAAGACGAAACCAAAGAGCGTTCAACAAAAGAAGAAGGGTACCTTTACCTATTCGCCTTACCTATACCGCGGATTTCCATGGTTTTGGTTGGTTTTGCGCCTATTTACTAGCTTATTGTATGTATAAAATATATATATATATATATATATATATATCTTTGAACCAGAACTTTAATAATAAGCATTATTTAATTGTTCCTTGTTTCACACCTGACTTGGATATACGATGTTGGTCTACAACTCTGATTGCGCAGAAAAAGGCAAAATATAAGGGTGAAAGGAGTGTTATTATGTATCCAAATTATTTGATTTTAGAAAGTTTGCCTAGGTTACCGTTGCCTTCAATGGTCATTTGTCAGACAATTGACAAGTTCGATTCCAGGGTTTCATCATCAGACTAATACAACCACGACAAAGTGGGCTGGAATAGACATATTGGGTTTAATATCGATGAGTCACTGAAGCTAAGTAACTAATTTATAAGACGACGTGATTGGTCCGCTTGATTTGAAGTCAGGTGAAGTGGCTTGACTGCTATTGTTGGTCGCATTAGCTTGGGCCAAGGTAGGGTTAGAATATGGACGAGTTAGAGTATAGACGAGTGCGCATAGATCCGGGTTATTGAGCCGAATTACGGTCGCGTTTGCTGTCGACATCAGACGACATCTGACTGCCCGTGTGTAACGTCCGAGGACACAGTAGATTGGTGTGAATGCCTCATGTGAATTGGTCTGGTGATCGCAGTCTGCTGGCTGCGACAATATTTCACGCGTAACATTCTTCCTCGCGCCGCTGTGGAGCCAAGCTGGACAATATTCCCGAGCCCTAACGGACAGTTACCTGATAGTTTTCCCAACATCCCTCACTCGATACGAGCAAGAGACATTGTGCACACTGAAGGAGGTCTGCGACTGTGAAATCCTGTGTTTAAGTTGGCCCAAAATCGGTGTGGAGGTGAAGCTTACGCGTAGAGTAGCAACAAAATATGTTCTCGCTGTTGCTAAGGAAAGCCTTCGGGTGGTCCGTTCCGCTATCGCGTCACCCTTAAATGGTAACGATAAGTATACCATTCGCTTCTCCGCGGAGACGGGTTTGAGCTTTGGCTCTCGTGCTTCTATGTGCCTCTAGAGGAATTTTTCAGGGTATCCAGTGCGCTCGAATACGCTTTGAATTGAGCCCAGCTCATCTAAAAGTGTACCTTCTATACGCATGCTCCTCGCTCTATCCGGTAGGCCATGGACGAAGTTCGTTTTTGACTTATCAGAACAAAACTAGCGAACTGGATGTATTGTCCATTCCAGGTTTACTTCCTGTGCACGCTCCTCCGCACTGACCCCTCCGATGCCCTGTTGATTTGAACATCTACAAATGCCAATGAGTCGTTACGTTCTAGCTCGATAGTGAAAGTTATGTTACTATGTGCAGACTTAAAGTGGGCTAATAGATTATCAACTTATATTCCATTATCCGCGATAGAAAATATCTCGTCTACTTATTAACCGTAGTAAATCAACTTGTTGTTGGTTTCGTTCAGCTAGTTGCACCCCAGTTTGCTCATGAAAACGTCCGCGAGCAACGGCTCTACTAGTGAATCCATTGCCACCTGTCTGTTTTTTTGAAATGGCCTTTCAGTAAAGTGAAACTGAATGTTTCTCGTGCACATGAATAGCAGTTGTCACAGTCGGTCTGGTGGGATACCAACTTCGTTGTTGAGCAGAGGGATGAACTCCCACAGACAGTCTGTATTTTGCACCAATGGAACATTGGTAAAAAGAAACATTACATCTAAGGAAAACATCTGTCGCCCGGATAGTAATTTGCTTCGCTGAGTCAAGAAATGCATAGGTGTCTTGAGCCTGTATGGCTATGGCTTTCCTGACTGGTTCCAGCCGTTTGACGAGCCACTTGGCGGTTGAATGATACGGTGAATTACACATATCTAGAGTAGCGGCCGTAGTGGTAGCACTTCATTGTATACTTTGGGCACACCATACAAGGTTGGAATCACTATCCCACTCGGTCTGGTGTATTCAAATATATCTTAGTAGATTAGATTCTCCTGCTTTAGGCAATGCAGAAATTTCCTTAAGGATCTCTCAATTGCCTGTGTTTTGTCATTCTCATTATCCACACTTCGAAATTTTGTCCCGTCAGAAAGAATGGCGTACATCTTGCTGATATAGTCTGATGTGTCCATCAGAACGACCCCGGCTCCTTTATCCGGTCTAGACAACAATACAGTATCGTTTCGCTTGAGTTCTGTAAGAGTGTCTAGATCACGTAGTCTTATCGATTAGTTACTTTGCTTCAGTGATTCACCGAATGTAAACCCATTGTGTCTACTCTAGCCTGCATGGTTTCGGTTGTATTAGCCCATTGATGAAACCCTGAAGACAAGCTTGTTCGCTACTTTTTGTTTCTTATGTTTTATCTGGGATTTATTTCTCAAATCACAAGTTGACAGAGTTGCAACTTGTGACATCTGTTGCCTTTGCTCAATCCACTTGCGCGTATTAGTCTCGTCTTGTCATGCAAATTTAGACGGGCAGAAAAGTCATCTTTCGTTAATTGTGCGCGGTTGGGAAGCATATTGTGTGTCAGGGAAATGTAGGTAAGAAAGCTTGTTGAATCACGGATCAAAAACGTTGAGGCAAACTTGGATTTTTGAATTATAGTTCGTAGTTAGACCACAAGCAATAGGTAATTGCAGGGAACTTGCCATATCTAACCGCAGCAAAGTCAGCTTGGATCACATAGAATGTTATGCTTGTAAGGATCAAAATGTGCACTGTTTGGTACTCACGAGATTGGTCCCAAAGTGATTCAGACTGTAGCATAACTGATGACTTGAATAAACGGACTGCTGCAAGTACAAACGACCCAGTGGTCCAAGTCAGTGACTGTTCACTACCACCCTTAGAACGCCCTCCTCACTTACGCTGTTTCTTCCCGCACACAATCAGCACTCAAAAATCCTCTCGACGATTAACCTATGCGGTTACTTTGCCGCTGAAAATTCACCCCTCGTGGGTGTATAAAAGCGTACACTTAACTCGATTTTGTTTGATTACACTGTGCAACATCATGTTTATAACAGAAATGCGATAGGGTGTTTCTAGTAGTACCATTGGAGCTGATTACTGATGTGCAAACCAAATGTTTCTATCATGTCGGGTTAGTTAAGTTCAATGTTTCATTTCAGCTAAGCAGTGTGTACCATGCACTGAGTGCTCATCTGTGATTGGTCCATTAGTTCCCTGTAATCGTGGAAAAGGGGTCCTCTTTGCCATGGTATAAACCTGATACTGAAAGTCGAATGAGAGTTGTGTTTCCTTCCTTGATCTCCTGCTCATGGCTGAAACATGTTGCTGTGTAAATGACCGAAAGCATTTTCGTTACATCTGTGGATAGTTTTCTACAAAGTTACTTTGAAGACCCATTTCTTCATCATTGAAGTCTGCTTACCACACATATTTGGGAATAAAACTGGGAGATCAGGATATGCAGTTGGCGCCACATATTGTTTGTGTGTCGTGAAATCTTCATCCGACTCGGTGGCTCAAGGGCAATGGCAAAATGTCCTTTGAAATCCCCATGGTGTGGAGAGAGCCGAAGGATAACACGACAGACCGCCACTTCTGCCTAACCAGTGACATTTAAATCTCCAACCGAAACAAGGATAACTTTCATTACCCCGATCTTCCATCAGCTATCCGACCTGTTCCTCATGATTGCGCCTTATTCATTCCAGTACCTCCAGTGAACGTGTCACTGATGATGAGTATTGCTTCCGCATTGTCAACTTCCCCTGATACTGACGTCTGTAAAAATATTGAAACTGATGTTGTCAACTCAAATCTTATTGAACAATCAGAGCTGATTGACTTGGTAAGTGACTTGGAGTTGCTTAACGACAAGACCGAGTTGGGGGCAGCTTGGCTACAGCGGTAGCAATTACTTGCTACAAACACTAAAATTACTGTATTCCGAAAGCGAAGTGTTATATTCTTCGGTTTCTATGATACGAGAGAAAGCTGAGTCTGACTGCCGTACGGACGCACTTTATCTCGACTCTCGCTTCATTCACGGTGGTCATTTCAGTTCTCTACACACATTCTTTTGAGTGCGCTCTTTCGAACAAGTTCAACGTGCGCTACTTAGTGCTTTCCAAATCTCGGACCTAACTTGTGTGTATCATACTGGTACTCTCGTACTAAGTTTTGGCACATTCTTCGTTGAGTTATGATTGTGAAACCACATCACTCCCGAGCTTTCCGAGAATAACTTTGTGCTCATTCGGTAGAAGAAGCCGAGGACCCTCAAACGACCCTGCAACCATCCCTACAGGCGGCGGCATAACAAAGTTAGGAAATATTTTGCGTCGTGCACCCACAAAAATATTGCGTCCAAGACACATAGGGATGCTTGCGAACCCCCTGTGTGGAGCGTCGCCTAACACGACCCGATCAGTACACCGCGCGTCTTCGTATGCCTGTGTGCGCAACGTTG